GGGGGGTATTGACAGAGGCGAACGCAGTGTATGTACTGGAATGCTGAGATCTACTACTACGAATGCAAGGAAGTCTTGAATAACGAAGGGACACTTAATATGAATTGTATGATACATAGATGTACAGATGCCCAAAGTTCCAAGAAGACATGACATGGCTGTCTTAGCTGCTGGGTATTTCTAGATACAACGATAGGAGATACGAGAAAGGCTGGGCATTGGCAGGAAAGGGACATAGGGCTACACCATAGCTTGCACCTTGTACACAGGTGTCGAGGTGCGCTTGCCGCGTGTCTCAACGGGCCACTTAGCTTCATTCGACACATCGACCATCTCATGTGACTCGACGTGCACCATAACCTGCTCTGGGACGTTAGTCTCTGGGAAGTCCAACGATGCAGGCGGGCAGGATTGTACCTCTGGACGTGATGCTGCGGCGTGTGTCGACAGGTGCAAGAACTCGGGCATTGCGGAGCTCTACGGTGATTAGGTCAGCTACGGCATGCTTCAAACGTAATGCGGCAAATATACCTTAACGGGCTCGCTCGTATTCCGCGCATCGCGGTCTAGCTCAGCGCCGAACTTCCAGCCAGAGCGTGAGTTGAGACTTGACATGAGAGAGTTAGTGTAGAGCTTGGCGAGTGGCAAGTTGAAAATAAGGTGTCTACGAGCTACAGTTTAGCAAGAGATCCCGTAGCAAGTTGCCTGCCACTCACATTCCCGTTGACTGTGAAAGAGTACTACTCAGCATACTTACGACACTTTGGGATGATAATGCAGACTTACGATACTCAGGAATAGGATAAGATCGATTATTGCCCAGATGGCCGTAATAGCTCCGGTCGAAAAAGTGTCTGTAGCAGGCGTAAGCGGAAGATACATCTGAAAAGACCTCCAGCCTCGTACGTAGGACAATTTTGTTCAAGATATCGTCTGTACGTTGAAAACCCGTCTTGTATCGTCTCTAAAATAACATTAGCCTCTGGAGCTCATTCCACTCACTGCAAGTCGGCTCACCAGATGCCATGTTAGCGCAACAGCAATGGTAGTGTCACAGACAGCAGTAGATACGAGCCAAATCGCGCCGGTCTGGTCGAATTTGCTGAAGTCGCTGTAATGCTGCACCCAGACGACGGCAATGGCAACGCCGAGACCGCCACCTACACTCGGGATGAGGTCCGCGACGTAGTGAGCAGCGCGGCGTGGACTTACAGCAAGAAATGACGGCGGTTACGATGATGAGACTGGCAACCCACCAACTCTTCATGAGAACCTTTACTCTCCACGCGTAGAAGAGCTGCACGCCGGTTGCAATGATCGCCTGTGCTGTGGTGAGCTCTCACGCCAGCCAAAAACAAAGGTTAAGATACGCACGACCATTGCAGGGTCAGTGGCGATGCCTGTGAGGGGAAGTGTGAGGGCTTTCGAGATGGACAGCGTCAATCGTACTTACGCCAATTCGCGTCGTTGAGATTGGCAACATTGCCTACGTGATAACTTCAGCAGCTGCGTCACTGAAAGTGACATATACGGACTGACCGAATTGCGCGACAAGATCATTATACAACCAGTATATGTCAAAGATGGAGTTCAGCAGGTCCGCCACGTACAGCACAGCGACCTAGGACACTCTCTGTGAGCATGGAAGCGCAAGACAGGCTCATGGGTTTTAGAACGCACGTATAATTTAATCCAAATACGATCCCTTGGTGATAAAGTTAGGGCAGATGTGTCAGGAGATGCACAGGGTACACACTTCTTGTACGTTGAATAATAATGAAAGACTTGGGCGGTCACAATCCCGAACAAGAACACGTTCAGGAAAGCACCAATAAGGCCTGGGCCCTGCCTGTGTAGTTTTTCAGGATGTGTGATTCATCGAGCATAAATTGGAACTTGGCACTCACGCAGCCTCAGCGGGATTCATTTTTTTAGCCCGAGAGTAACGCTCTTGAAAAATGAGCTACACGGGCAAAAGACTGCCGGAATGCGCTGCCACTGCCTCGAACGCCGCGTGGAAGACGGTAGTGGGAGACGCGAGAGAGGGAGCACGCGCGTAATAAGCAAAAGTGGCAGAAGGCCCAGCAGTGAAACGGTTACGGGAGAGATTGATATGGATCGAGGCATATGGAGAACCCGGGGAGCTGCACACGGCGGAGAACCAAGGTTGATCCCGGCCGCACTCGAATTGGAGAGGCCTGAAATTTCTGCGTGAGCCTTGCGCACCCGCAGCGTGACTGTTACAGCCGGAAAGCGCATGGCATGCTGTGAAACAGGCTCACGAGCAGTCGTCCCTGGTAGCGGAAACAGTGGAAACGCATTGAGGCGCAAAGAGATCTATCGGGCAGTGTGAACGTTACTTCCGGATCACCCTGTTACCAGCGTGCTCATTTCTAATTTAAAGTAGTGGATGGGATGGCCTGGCTTCGTCTGGCTAAGGCCGCAGACCACCTTAGCGCCCTTCGGCAACCCGCAGCCCTCCGTCCTGGAGGACTCGGAGCTTAACGCAGGCATAGTTGCCCTTCAAGTGCCGCTTTATGCGAGGGCTCAATGTTGTAGAGGCGTGCTTCATGTGAAGGGGGGTATTTCTAGGTGCTAGCCCGCCATAGCGTCGTGTGCGCGAATCCCGAGGATTTGAGGCCGGAACGCTAGTTTAGCCGTATAATATGATGTATATGATGCGTCGTCGCACGCGACTGTCTCCACAAAGAAAATAAGCACGCCTTTGCGCTTGAACGGTTTGTGACGGCGATAGCGCTTCCTGCCGACGCGTAGTGCACTCCACGGTGAAGGGCATGGCCACATGTTTTCCGCAGTCTTTTCCACGAGCCCGACTGACGCATTACCCGCATTACCCGCGATCTATGCATGTCTTGATCCTGAACAATTGCAATCACCGGTCCTGAGGCCTGAGCGCTGAGCAGACAGACGTTTGATTCTCCGTTCCAGGGCACACGAAAAAAAGTACTGACGGTTGACAACGAGTGCCATCGAAGACTGTGGTCCACTGCAATGCGCTGTGTACTGCCAGCGAATCCGGCTATGGCCCGCGCTAGTAAACGGAGCAGAACGAGTTGCTACGGCAAGAGGCTACGCGGGAGGCATAGAGACAGACCGTCATGCATCACGACGTAAACGCCGGAAAGCCGAGGTCTACTACCAAAGCGACAAATAAAAGCAGACATTCATTTAATACGAGCTGTATCGTACATACATGCACATGATCCTAATGTATCAAGAAGAGGAAGTGCGGCAGCTCCAGTCGCTGAGCGTTCCAAGGTACAACAAGAAAAAGAATAAAGTCGGACACTGGCACCGGGTGAGAGACACAGGGCTACACTATATTTTGCACCTTATACACAGGCACCGAGGTGCGTCGACCGCGTGTCTCTACGGGCCACTTAGCATCGTCCGGGACATCGACCATTTCGTGTGATTCGACGTGAATCACGACCTGCTCCGTGACGTCAGCTTTCAGGACGCTAAGCGATGCGAGTGCGGGTGACCATACCTCTTGGCGTGCGCCGCTTGATGACAGTTGTAGGAATTTGGGCGCAGCATGGCTCTGCGATGATCGGGTCAGTTACGGCATGACTCGGACGCGATGCAGAAGACGTACCTTGACAGGCTTGTCCATGTTCTGCCTATCGCCGTCCGATTCCTCGGTGTTGAATTTAAGGCCGGAGCGCGAGTTGAGACTCGACAAGAGAGAGTTGGTGTAAAGCTTGGCTAACGGCAAGTTCAGAGCGAGGTGGCTGCGGGCTACGCATTAGCAAGGCACTCCATGACAAGTGGCTTGCCCTTACACTCCTGTTCGCTGTCAAAGAGCACTACTCAGCATCGTTGCGGCATTTCAGAACGGCGATGAAAACTTACAACACTCAAGAACAAGATGAGATCAACTATTGCCCATATGGCCGAGATAGCTCCAGTCGAGACCGTGACTGCAAAAGATGTAAGCAGCAGATATATTCAAGACCTCCAGTCACGTACGTCGAATAATCTTATTCACGACATCGTCCGTCTGCTGAAAACCTGTTTTGTGCCGTTTCTATGGTAATGTCAGCATCCAGAGCTCTTTAGCTTCGCCGCAATGTCAACTCACGAGGCGCCATGTCATAGCAATTGCGATGACAGTGTCGCAGACAGCCATAGAAGCCAGCCAGACTGCAACGATTGAGTCGAATTTGTAGAAGTTCTTGTACTGCTTGACGAAATGGATAGCAATTGCGGTGCCGAGACCGCCACCTACGCTCCAGGTGAGGACCACAATGTGGTGAGAAGCGGAGTCTTAGACTTACAGCAGGAAGCGATGGCGGTCAAGACGACCAGACCGGTGATCCACCAGTTGTTCGTGAGCACCTTCAATCTCCACGCGAAGAAGAGCTGCACAAGGGTGGCGATAATCCCCTGTACTGCAGTGAGCTGCCACGTCAATTTGTCACATGAACTCAGATACACACAACCATAGCAGGGTCAGTGGCGAAGCCTGCCAGCGGCAATTGTGAGCGCCCGTACAGGTTAGAAGCTGTCCGGCACACTTACGCCAGTCCGCAACGCTGATATCGGCGGAATTCCCTGCGTGGCAACGTCAGCAGCCGCGTCATCGGAGGTAGATCTTAGGAACTCACCGAAATCATCAATGAGATCGACATACAGCCAGTAAATATCGAAGATTGAATTGACCAGGTCCGCTACGGCCAACACAGCAACCTGAATTTGCTCTCTATGAGGTTCAAAGCGTGCCGCAGGCTCGGTGGACCTACGTATGCCTTTATCCAGAGACGATCCCTGGATAATCAAGTCAGGAGAGACGCGTCGGGGGACGTGCAAAGCACGTACTTCTTATATGTTGTGAAGTAATAGAAGACTTGAGTGACTACGATTCCCAACAGGAATACGTTCAGGAAGGCACCAATAAGGCCCGGGCCATGTCTGTACAGTTTCTTTAAGGGTACGATATATGAAGGTTAGATGGACACTCACATATCCTGAGCGGGGTTCATCTATCTACCTTCGAGGGACGCCGCTCTCGAAGAAAAGGTTATACGAGCGATGTGCTCCCGAGCTGTGCCGTAATCGTGTCCTAAACGCTACTAGAGACGATGGTGGGGGGTGTAAGAAAGAGATGCCTGCGAGTAATAAGGAAAAGTCGACAGGAGACCCAGCAGAAAATGCTTACGGGAGAGATTGATATTGTACATCAAGGAAGTTCGAAGCTGGGGAATCCGGGGAGTTGCACATGTCGGTCAACGACAGGCAGATTCCGGTCGCTGTCATCGCGTCGGACTGGAGTGGCCGCTGGCTCGTTGAAAAATGCTGCACAGGACACGTCGCGCGGCTGGCTTATGCATTCGCAACTTGAATGCACTCAACGCTGGCTGTTCCGGCCAGAAAGCGCAGGCAGCGCGGGCATGGCGCGCTATGAAACGCGCTCGCGAGCAGTTGTCCCTGGTGGCGGAAACAGGTTCAGGGTATTGCAGTACGGAAGCGCATCAAGAAGCATCCATCGGACGGTGTACATACCCCCGTTACCAGCGCGATCAGCCTGATTTTGGCCGGGCGCTGTCCGTTGTGTTCTACGGGGCCTTCTCGTCGGCAGTGTCATCCATCACTGTGGCCAGGACGCATTGTGTGCATTGTAACATTCCAAGGTGAAAAAATTACTCTTGTTGACGGGATCACCTGCCAACGCGCGGAAGTCCACGGGGGCGGAGAGCACCGGGATGTGGCCGCACGTTACAGGCCTGTCTTTGATGCGCCTCTACGCTGTTGGGCCCCGACCGCGAGCCCAATATCTTCGGGCCAGATTTTTCGGGATACTGTATTTCGCGTTGGTGTCGTCTCGGAGGTAACCGGGGTAACGGTCGGCGTGAGACTCCAAGGTAATCGTGATTTACCCACCAACTCCCACCAATCGACCTGCCACGTTTCGTTCGGGGATCGGCGCGCAGGGTTGTCGTCCGGTCCAATTTGTGACATGAGACAAGCACTCCCGGCGACTTGGGGAACAACAGTCTGTCCGAAGGGCCCTGTTTCTTTGGCGGCGGAATGATGCGCCCGTGGTATGAACAAACCCCCTTGATGTGCTCATAACGCTTTAGTAGGGAACGTAGCATTAAGCTTTTCTCTCCCACCTCGTGGGCTTCTCGAGTAAGTTTAGGAGCATGCAGTACAGTATACAGGACCACTCCTTGGGACACCTGATCGGTATCCGTTTCCCATATATACATCTCTGACATATATATTATACCAAATCCATATCATGTTACTTTAACATGTTAAATTGCTCCGTGCGACGCTGCAAGGCGAAAAGACGGAATACGGTGTCAAGGGGAAGGACACAACAAAAAAATGACGCTCTGTGACCTACACCGGCAGTGTCGGCTGGCGCGGCACAGACCTCAGTCACGCCCAAGCTCGGTAGAATCGTGTCCGATGCATTCTGGCTCGACACTTAATATTTGCGCGTTACACATATTTTTCACATAAGTAGAGCATGAAATGTATGAACTTGAGTGCCACTGAATATCATCGTGAATTCTGGGCTCACCGTGCGACTCCGGTGACGGTCTTAGCGTTGCTCAAACCGGCGTGAATGCTCGACGATTTTCAAGGTTCTGTGCTCCCCCGTCTATGCTACAATCACCGGAGGGCTCCGATTTCCTAATGGCACATAGATGCAAATGCATTATTTACAGGAAAATGGTGGCGATAGGCCCGACAGGATGTGAGGGCAGAAAGTAGTGTATCCCAAGGAATGGTGCTGTCCCAAGGAGTGATCCTACACTGTATGTGTCCAAGGCGCCACATGTTGATGGATATGCCACTAGTAAGTCCAGGCGAAGAACGACGAAAAGAACAGTGATTAGAGACTTGTTTCTCTTGTTTGCGATATGAGTTCAATGACTCTATCCGTAGGTACAATGCGTATAATTCTGTATACACAACAAGGGGCGTCTAGCGCCGGCGAGCGGTTTAGTGCGTAGTCTTCGTAAGCTGCAGTCGAGGCCCTAATTTTACGCCTTAATCCCGAGCTCGTTGCCGATAATGACCGCACCCTTCTCGCCTACGAGAAGTGCTGTAGAGTACGTATTCTATAGAAAGTGGCCATTGGTAAGGACTAGAAGAACGACCCCACTGGCTCGACTCACCGCGCACACGTTTGATGGCGGGACAGACAGGTCTGACGGAGTGCGCGTGAGCCTTGGTCGGGACAGAGGCAGAAAGTTGAAGCGTACCACAAACTTTGAGACCCTCAACACCCCACACGTTGAGGTTGCAGTCGACGACGCCCCCCTGCTCCCGCGGCTTCATCGCGCAAGTCCCCATCTGTCCCGACGTAAGCACAGCTCTCATCGACGCAGAGGGAGAAAAAAACCCACGAAGTGCCAAGCAGTGACGACTGCGCATGTATATGCGTCTCGTCAGCACAGTGCATGCCAGACAGGGGCACAGGGCCACGCACCAAACTTGCGCAAGTGCGCCTCGAGCGCCTTGTCGTCTTCCTTGGTGTACACGAGCCGCGGCGCGTCGACGGAGACGGGCGCGACGTTCTGCGCGCACAGCGTGGCGCTGCCCGACGGGAAGAGCGGGTGGTGAGGCGTGTACTCGCCCTCGTAGCACGGCATGCGCCGCGCATACTCGCGCGTGAGCTTGTACCCGTACTTGAGCAGCGCCATGTCCTCCGGGCTGCCAGACGTGCGGTGAGCGGCTTTATCATGAAACAGGCTGGGCGGAAACGCACGCGCGACAGTACGCAGTCTCGAAGTCGAGCGCCGCGTGCACGTCGTCGCCTGAGTTGATGTGGACGTGCCCCATGCCCTTCGGGTACGCGGGGAAGTAGCCCAGGCAGAAGTACTTGCGCGGCGGGACAGAGGACGGGTCGCCGACGAACCTAGTCGAACGGTGAGCACATGCGGCTGGGACAGATGTGGAGAAAAGACGAACATGGATAGAGGACAGAAGTAGAAGACGGGCTTGTCGGGTTTGTCGGCGAAGTATTCTTTCCAGCGCTGCTCGAACTCGGGGCCGATTTCTTTTAGTTCTTCCTCGTTCGGTCGCCACTTAATTCCTGCATCCATGCCACTGCCAGTTGTGGTGAGTAAAGGGTGGAAGGCACTTATGAGCAGACGTACTTGTGAGCCATCATCCCTTGGCCGTCCTTGACCCACTGCTGATGCCACACTGATGCAGTCAATCAGCAAACGATTATAATCGTCGACTAGATCACTCACTGGCGGTCTCCTCAGGGTCTCCGCGGCCAATGCCATCTAGGGTGAACGAGTCGGCAGTCGCAAGGTAAGGCGGAAAGAGCGTTGAGTGGTCTTGTAACTAGTGTCAGCAACGGCAATCTTCGATCAAGCACTTTGACTCAACCTTGATAATGCTCGCCGACACCCGGCAAGTCGACGATCTGCGGGACGCCTGCCTTCCCGAGGACGTCCTTCGCACCGATGCCAGAGCGCTCGAGAATGCCAGGCGAGCCAAAGGTCCCGGCACAGATGACGACAAGTTTCTTCGCGCGGACGGTCCTGACCTGTGTCTTGTCTGCATCAGGCTGGAATACTGGGTTCGGGACGTATTCGACCCCGACGGCGCGCTTGCCCCTACATAGATGGTAAGACAACAAGCTGAATTCCGAAGTGGGGTGCAGCGTTTACTCAAAGATGACTCGCTTTACGAGCGACCCGGTGAGAATCTCGAGACCCGTAGTGTTTGTGTGATTGTAGAGGTAGTGGTGGGCGACGTCGGACCGCTTTCCTGTCATACCGTCGATCCATCTGTTACAGGGCCGTCAGCATCGATGTCGAGACTTTGCTCCATGAAACAGCTCACTTCTGCATTCTCTGGGATCGACCGCAGCAGCTGTCAATCTGACACCGATCATTCCAATATCTGAGCAACGCACCCCGTACACATTCGACACGTATATATTGTTCGGGTCGTCGGAGTGTTCGCGAGCGGTGTCGAACCCCTTGGCTACGTCGAGAAAATCTCGGCCAACGTTCGTGAACTTACCCCCATACGAGACCTTCAGAGGCCCAGAGTAACCGTGAATGTCATCCTTTCCAGGGGCGACTTGATACGTCTCAGTCTGGCAGGACGAGCCCATATTGAGTCCTAGACGCCTGAATCTCGGCTTCTCCACACACCTTCCTGAGGAGTGGGACCAGATCCTTGGCACCCCATCCAGGGTTCTTGTGTACCTGTTCCCAGTCATCGAAGTCCGAGGCGACTGCTCGGTTGTACAACGTGACTTGGCGTTCCGCCTGATTAGCATCTTGCATAGATGCACGTAAGCGTACCGCCGGCACTTACAGTTAACACTTGAACTTCCGCCGACGACATGAGGACAAGTGACGATCTGGGACCGCCCTCCCAGGTATTCGCTTACGTTGGAGACATGGACCTTCCAGATGGGGTTGTCGGGGCGAAGGTGACTGAGACACTTGGCAGGCTGGACGAAGTTGTCGTCCTCCCTGACATGAGGGCCTGCCTCAATGAGCAGGATCTTCAAGGATGGGTCGGCTGCAGCAAGTCGCCCTGCGGCTACGCCTCCGCTAGTACCGGCTGGATACAAGGCAGCGTCATTGAGTGCTGAATGCGATTGTTCTAGCCAAATACGTACCACCGGCGAAGATGACATCGTACTCGTCCAGAGAAGGAGAAGCCATGCTGCTCAGCGTTGCAGGAAGTGGGAGAAATGGGGCAGCTCATGTCCCCATCCCTTTGTCATTTCTTATCACGGCGCATCTGCGACGGCCCACCTGGAGTTGCTCATCAGGTGATGGGTGCAAAAACCGTTCCTGCTGCGGTTCTGGAAGCCATCTGTGGCCGGTGTCACGGACTAGGCACCGAAATGGTGGCAACCTGAGGCAACAGCTATTTTGCCGTATATTAGCAGATATTAGCACAAGGTAGAGCTTGCCGGCTTCGCCCTTGCTGAAACGAGATGCAAGACGTGGCAGTTGCTCTCAATTGCGCCGACGGCTCATCTTGTTGCAAGCTACTAGCCAGATGAGCTGGGGGCGCATTCGCTGCCCCCGATCAAGCGCTGGGTTGTGATGGCGCGTCGGGAGTCCACTCAGATCACTACATATGTTTCAGAACATATCGTCCACACTCCTCGAGCTCGAGTGCATTGCAGTATTATGTTCAAGCACCAGAGCGGCGAGCACAATGGCCACACGTTGTTATTGTCGTCCGCTGCAGCCGACGGCCGTCATCAGAAGGCGCGGAAGACTTTATCAGCCCTCCTACCCGCGGACGGCAACGAGAAGACGACCTTCGGACAACTTCCGGATGGCCTCACTCAGCCTGTTCTCTTCCTCGATCTCGCTGTGCTGGTCATTGCAGGGCATGTTGCCCCCATTATTTCGCCTGTACAGCTCATATTCTGAACCCGCACACTCCTTCAAAACGCATACGCTGCATCTCTGAGACACATTAGCGCACCCGCCGGGGTACTCCCTTGTTGCTATGACCCGGCATGCCTTGTCATTGCGCGAAAACTCCACCTGCTTGCTCTGCCCCGATACCACCCCGCCGTGTGACTGTGAGGCAGGCGAGGTCTGTATTAGCGTTAGCAGGTCAGTCTCTGCCCACGCCTGTCCGCGGAACTGGGATTAACCGCCTCAATGAAGGACTTGTGACAGCTGTGCTTCGAACAAATGCCTACCCCAACTTGCGCTTGGTGCTTCCTCGACCCCTTCCAGGGTGAGCGTCGGTACAGTCGCCGGAGCCGTCATCGCTTCTGTCCTCGTATTCGCACTCGCCCTCGCGCTCTACCTCTGGTATCGCCGCCGCTGGCAGCGGCGGGCGCGCGCCACTCGCATTGCCGACGAGAAGACCGATACACCTGCGCGTGCAGAAGATGTTCTGCGGCGCCCCGACCCGAACACACGCGCCGCGGCCGCACGGGGCTCACCCGACATGCCAGCGTTCAGATTCCCCGACAGCGACTCGTCACTCGCGCGCGACTCGACGTCGGGCTCGCATGTCGCGACGCATGGTCACAGCTTCGCTCCTGGCGCGCGCTACCCCGCATTCTCTGGCGCGCACTCGGACCACAGGCTCTCTGCGGGGACACACCCCGCGCTGATATCCGCGACGTTTGCGCCCGGCATGGTGCAGGACGCCCCGCCGCTCCCCTCGACCTCGGACCTGTCTGGCCGCCCTCCTGGGCATCAGCCAAGCGACCGCAACCACGACCAACCCAACACCCGGAACTCGTACAACACGACTACAACTTTCTCGAGCGACCTGTCTAGCATCCCGATTGTCGAGGCATCGCACGGCACGGTGCGGCAGGTTCTGGGCGTCGCGCGCGCCGCGGTCGTACGCACGCCGAAGCCGAGCCTATCCTCGATCCACCCGTCGCTGCACATCAGACGCCTCAGCGGGACAAAATCCACGCTCGGAGTCCCTGCAGAAAGGCCGCCGCCTGTCCCGAGCTCCCCGCTCGCTCGATTCGACTTTCCTCGGGTACTGGAAGAGTCAAAAGAAGAAGAAGACCCGTTCCGCGACAGGACCCCGTCGCCCGTCCCGTCGCGCCGCGCCGCAGATCGCAGGGCTATCACGCAGTCTACGGGCACGTTTGGCGACAGCGGCACGCAGCGCTGGCCGCCGCCGCGGGCCCGGAAACGTGGTGGCTCGGCGCCGGACAACAATGTGGTCGAGCAGGGCAGTGTCTCTACGCCTACGAGCGCGAGCCCCCGCCGATCCACGCACAACGACGTCGCACCGCAGATGCTTGCGCCGCCACACTCTATGGACGTACCGCTCACGCCTGCGTCTGCACGACACGATATGCTTGCAGTGCCGGGCGAGGAGCGGCGGCGTGACACGACCTCGGACGCTTCCGTCCTCAGCGCGACGTCGAGCTTCGCCGAGTCCCTCCTCTCCTCCTTCCCCTTCGTTCCGCCGTCGCCGCCCGGCTCCTTCAACGCCCGCACGCCACCCCGCTCGCCGCAAGCATCGCGATCCTTCAATGGGAGCGGGAGCACCGACGTGCTAGCTGCCGACCCCGTGCTCCCGCGCATAGCCTCTTCGACGTCGTCGAGCTCCTCTGGCACCCACCGTTCGAGTTTCACCGGCGACTCGACACGGTCGCCGTCGTTCCCGAACCGCAGGATGGACGGGTCGCGCCTGTCGACCGACCAAGACTTCCGTTCATGACTATAAAGACGATTATCTTTCTAGACGCTCGTTTGTACCCGCATTTTTTTTTTCGGACACTTCTGTATTTGCACTCATCACATGTCTATCAGAGACCTCCAGGCATATTGTGGCAGGACTCGATTTTGGCACATACCCGTGGTAGACGGAGGGTGGTGACGTATTTCATTCGCACTTTTTGTATTGGTACAAGATATACTATGGCATAGATTTCACAGCAACGAGCCATACGTTCTGACCGAGACATTAAGAGGCACGCGGGGTCCAATCCGAAGCGAGATTCGCCGTTGTGAGTAGCAATTCCTGAGGGGCGTGTATTCATCCAGACGCGGGCAGTAACGAGCTTGATTCGCATTTCGTAATGTACAAGGCGGGTAGCGGAAACTTCGAAGCGGCTTGACATCGGTAGCGGCCGAGTCTTCAACAGCTCTTGATGATATCGGCGGCTGCGCAAATCGTCAGCAACCCTCAAACATCCAGCTCGTGAGGTACACCGACCTTTCTCTGCAATGAAGTACGCCGTGGCTATGCAAGAACATGCTCCTCAGCGAAAACGGCAGCGCGAGATATATGCACAGAAACTCACATTGGGTCATGCAGCAGACGTGCAAAGGGATGATCGATATGTCGGCAACACGCAGGTTGTTTGTCCCGTACACCTTCAGCTGAGGATCGACGACGCCGCCCTTCTCTCTCGGTAGCATCGAAAGAGAGGACGCAGTGTCTGGATGCAACTGTCAGATGGTCTGTCGGCGATGCAAAATGAAACGCACGCAAGGTAGAGTTGAATGTAGCCTTGGCCCATTCTAGCATATTGTCAGCCGGTTATGCGGTCCGATCACGGAACTGCTCACTGAGGAGCTGCTCATCCGTCTGCACAGTAGGGCCGGGATTGAGTTCCTTAACTAGTCCTTTGTAAGTCAAAAGGCTAGAGCAGCTGTCGTAGTTGACATACCAATCATATCTTTCAAAGGACTAATATTTGCCAGGTTGCGCATGAACTTCGTGGCCTCGAGGAGCACGTCCGCATCTATTATGTTCAGTCATAACGAACTTTGAGCACGGGCCTAAAACTGCGACTAACCGACGTTGCGCTCGAGATACCGGGGGTCGAAGTCAGGATCCTCGTTAGGGTCACTCGACTTGACATGCTGCAGCAAACACGTCAGTATTGCGCGGGACCGGAGCGAGCGAATAAGAGCTTACGATGGTTCCCCGGGAGAAAAGCCCGTTGATCATGGTTACGAAAGTAACGTAACGCTTCCCGGGGCTGGGCGGGTCTTAATAAAATCGAAGTTAATCGTACACAGAATGCACAAGTTCTACGGACTTACTGGGACCCGACCCTTGAAATCCAGGTACCATGGACAGCTGGCAAGTGGGACTGCTTGTGTTTGGATTGAGACGCCCCAACAGTAGTTGCATCTGGTCTAGATAGCCTGCAGAGACTCTGGCGGGGACTAACTTGTCGATTTCTTCCTTGGCCCGGCGGTAGATTTCTCCGGCCTTGTCCGAGATTTGGTCCGGCGGGAAGAACGCCGAGAGAATGATACCCATAGTAAACAACCCTTGGCCTTGCTTGCTGTGAAGACAGATCGACGACGGCGCCACGCATGCTAAGGACAAGACTATTGCTTACTGGAGCTCAATATTCTTCGCGAAAACCTCAGGGTCCCGTAAGAGGTCGAATGTTTGCAAAGGACAATCGTCTTTTAGCTCTGGAACGGCAGTCCGTCAGCCTAAATTGGCACTACAAGAGTGAGATATGCACCCCATGATATCCCAAGTACGATATGCTCTTGCACATTTTCGCCAACGCCGGGAAGCTCGAGCTTGAGGGGAACCCCGATCTCTGACAGGACGTCCTTTCGGCCAATTCCAGACAGTTCGAGAATCTGCGGAGACTTGAGAGCACTATAGAGCGTCGTGCAATCAGTGGATAGCAAGTAGCACAGACGCGAGTAAGCTGCTCCTACCCAGCACTCAGAATAACCTCTTTGGAGGCCCGTACGCTGTGAGTGTCGCCACCATGTCCAAACTCGACGCCAGCCGCGGTAAGATCACCAGTAGCGTCGCGTTCGATGAGGACGCGATGCACATGAGCGCTCGTTAGAACCAGCAGGTTTGCTCTATCTTTGTTTGGGAGATAGAATGCCGTCGTCGAGTAGGATCTAGTATGCGTTTCTGTGTCATAGGTGTTGAGACACCAGAACCATCCGTTAGGCTACAGATTTAGCTGTCATTGAACAACTTTAGCAATGAAAGAACGTAACACTCACATCTCCATCGTACTGGCTAATGGCATGAGATTATTTGTGTGAAGCGGATTATACACGGCCCATCCACTCACGGGTTGGGGTGCCGGATGTATTCCAGCGTTCTCCAGAACCTCTTTCAGCTTAATTTCACCATCCTGGATCAGTCCAGGAAACCCGACCCTGAGTTGCCCTGTACAAAGCTAGTGAGCTAGTAATCAACCGTTAAGGACAGGTTACGGTACCACTCCTCCCGAATTTCCAAGTGGCGGAGTTCATCTCCAGCCTTTTCTGGACGTCTTCAGGCGGGGGCTGGAATCTGGTCGAGAATTTTCCAGCTAGCTGTATTAATTGTACGAAAAGGTAGAGCCAAGTCCTACCTTTCTACCCTCTCAAGCATATCTTGGTGAAGTTTCCAGTTCCACCCCGGGTTGCCTAGCTTTTCCCACTCTGCATCAAACAACTAGTCAATTTCTGCAAACCCCGGGACGGAGAGGCGATACGCGCCATCAATATGGCGTCCAGGCGGTTTAGCATAACCCATGAAGTTTATGGCAGTCGAACCGCCAAGGCCTTTGCCTCGTGGCCAGATTAAGGATCGGCCGTCGAGATAATTCTGCTCGACCTATTTCGAAAGACAATGCGCCAAAGCTACAAGGCAGTGGCATTGTGCGGCGTGCTTACTGTCTTATGGCCCCAATCGTACTGGTGTTTCCCTAAATGCGAGCCGTATGAGGCGGGGCGCACTGTTGTCTCGTGAGTACGGTGAGCAGAAACAGGGAGCGAAGGAACAGATACGTAGTTCCGGGTCGTTGAGGTTGGCCCCTCCAGACTCAAGAACAAGAACAGTCTTGGAGGGATCTTCGCTCAATCTTGCCGCCAAAGTCAGCCCGCATCCCTAGTTGTGTCCCGTCTCTAAGCTGAGTATCAAGAATTGTATGCAAACAAACTCACTCCACCGCCTGCGAAAATGGCTATCAAACCGCTTTTATTGCCAGGACTGTGAGGGCTGACGTACCGACTACGATGTAGTCGAAGCTCTTGCCAGAGACCTCATCGATGCCGGAGGTATTGGACATATGGAGTCGAGAATGAACGTGTAAGAATGCCTGTGCGGAGTATAGAGTGGCCAGTGCCTCCAAGTCGCTGCTCACAGCTCATTTCGCGTGTGCATCTGAGCTTATAAGTAGGGCATCGCGACGCGCTAATTACCAGCGACTACAGCTCGTCTTATCGCTCTCTGACATGGCAGCCGTAATCCGCCAGACTGCGGTCTGTCTGTTGCGCTTCATAGACCTGTTCCGAGAGCATGGGTTGCGCCACTTGGGTCAACTGTGATGAAGGTTATTCAGCCAAGCAACCCGTTCGTGTGATATCATATGAACACCCAAAGCGTATAGCATACCAGTGTCAGCGCGCTCGGCTGGACGTCTAATTTGCACTGCAACCCCCTGCCGTGGAGCACGATGCAATCACCTGCTTGAGACAGCATTGCCCACCACATAAGAGGCTGACTTGGCAAGATGCTTACGTCGCAAAGCCATTTCAGCTAGGTAACCTCAAAAACACTTCTGATGACAGTTTACCTATCACGCCTGCATTTCAAAGCTAGGTCGTCGCCGATAGATACTGTGAGCCACCAGCAGATATCCATGCCATCTGTGCGCATGTAACAATCCCAGGGCGACTGTTCGGCATTACACCGAGCTTCCGGGACGTGCGCCTTCATCGTTGCGGACATTATACTGCGCATTGTGAATTCTGGACCAACTCTTCGCATTTGCAATGGTGCAAGGCATGTGCTATAAAGTTGCGGGGACTTCCCAACAACTGAAAACGCGTTCTGACTAAGGTTTCACGAGCTCCTGATGATGTCGGCGGCTGCAGCAAACAGTCAGCGATGTTCAAGGGTTCGACTCGTGAGAAACACTAACCTTTCTCCGCAATGAAGTACGCAGTGGCTAGGTAGAGAAGTACTCAGCAACAACAGCAGCATGGGGTGTATTCATAGAAACCCGCACTGTGTGTGGCCGCAGATTTGCAAAGGAACAACTGAGAGGTCGACGACGCGCAGGTTATTCGTCCCGTAGACCTTCAGCTGAGGATCGACAACGCCGCCCTTCTCTCTTGGTAGCATTGAGAGTGAGGATATGGTATCTTAGACTCGTGACCAGTCTACTCGGTAGTTGGTGGTGTGCGTACCGAGAGTGGGAGGGTGGTCGGTACGCTGGAATGGCTACCGAGTAGACTGGCAAGACTCGATCAAGGGCACAGGGACGAGATTTCAAGCTCCGCAGGTGCCCGGAAAGGCAGGTCGAGCGCCCTACACCGACCGTGACCGCGACGTGCTCATTTATCCTCGACGCGTGTCCGAACGCGTTCTCTCATGTATCCTACACCTTTCTAATACCAATATACTACTCTCTTACACTATGACGAAACGGACGCGTCACAACAATGATGAAAACGATCCTTTTGCTGCGGTATACACTCCAGACCAGCCACCCTCGAAACGACATCGGCGCAGTGGCCTGCCCAACACCAACGACCCTTCCTTTCAAGAGGAATGGGCACGCGCAGTGGAGGCTAGACAACAAGCAGAAAAGGATGAGAGAGCTCGGAAAGAAGCAGAGGCCCTTGAGGAAGCGGCCGCCAAGCTATGCACCAGACTCCGAACGTTGCGCTCAGATGGCTACTCCCTGACAGCCTTCCTCTCCGACCTCTTCAACTCAAAGGGCCCTCACATATCCTCTGAGGTGACCAAGCTTATTCAGGACCACAGTGCCAGCTTGTTTGATGCGATGCGCCTGTGCTGTCCTGAAGTTGCTCAGAGCTGGCTCAACGAGACCATAGAGGCCGCTATTGTCACGGAAGCGAAGCATCTTGCAGCCGAGTTGCGTCCTGATAGAGACCAAGAGCTATTAGATGTCCTGCATGACTGGAAGCTCGATGATGTTCTGGCAGCTGCAGAGAGGATTGCACCCACGCTACTGCAAGTACTGCGCCTCGCAGGCACTCATAAGCAACAGGGAGAGACTCGTTGTAACCATGACTTGGTAAATCTCTCTTCTGTCACTTCTGAGGTGTAATCTCATGCCAACATAGATCATTGCGACAATCCTCTGCCTCATCGCTGAGTCATACAGTGAACACTCGAATGAGGTGCAAACAGTGATGGGCATCTACCTGTTTGCATGTGGGGCCTCTCGCTCACAATTTGCTGTTCTTCACCATGCCAGTATAACATCATCATACACCAAGGTTCTGGATGACATCCGAACGCTACATCACGAGTGATTAGGCAAGGTCATCGAGCTCGCTCGATCATGAACATTCATGCTCATTTGGGACAACTTAAACTTTCAGTTCTGTGTTGGCGAACAGTGCCACAATCATAAGGACCACTTTGACAGTGGTACCACTGCCACGCTGGTGCCGCTTCATGGCATAGATCACGGAGAGCTTCCACTCTCAGTGCTGAAGCCTCGTACCACTTGCATCCATGCCCTCAACTTTGAGCCAGTCGACCTCCTCCCGTCAGCTGAGCAGATACAGCAGCTTGAGGATGCAATGCTGTGACACATCAAGGACATCTTCCTGAACGCTTTCCCTGCCCTGCAAAGCTCTCAATGGCATCCCCGGTGTACCAACGGTCAAAGCGATTCCACTTCACAAGACTGAACAATATCCATTACCCGCAATGCAAGTGGACGAGTCAAGCATTGACAGTACTCTGGAGGTCATCGAGACACTTGCTCAGCGTGTTCTCAAGTTCACAGAAGCTGATCTGCAGAATCACAGTGTTATTATTTGTGCAGGAGACCAGCTCACAAACTCTCTTGTAAACAAGGTGTGAATAGTCTGCTTAATTCACGAAAATTAATACTCATATCTTATAGGCATCTGCATGCCGCCGTGATGACAAAGACCTGCTTGATAATCCATCCTGGTATCTGAAGCCTCAGTTAGGCCTCTTTCATGTCAAGATGGCCACTCAGCGCATGGTCGCAAATGAACATTGGGCCATGGCAAACTCTAGTGCACCCTGGTCACTGTGGCGCATGAACTCACTACTCAGAAGGAAGCCTATCTCTGCAGGATGGAAGGCAAAAAAGCTGATGCCTTTCCACCCTGCACATGAGCTCACATTGACTCTGGTTCTACCTGCAAATGTGCTTGATGCACTTTGTATATTTGCTTGCAAATACAGCCAGCACTCTACACTTGAAGCCTGGGCTGGTGCACTTCAAAGCCATGCTGCACTTCACCATGTGGCTGTTCTGGTACACGATCATTTATGCTCATCAACACGTGTTCGAGAACTGCGCTAAAAGCCTGATGATGTCCAAGATCACACACTTGAGAACATTGTTCTCTTCAACAAGGACACCCTCATCTTACGTGAATATTACCATGCCGTCAAACATGGTGATATTGGGAGCATTGTCAACATCCTTGCCTTTTGGGTACACGAGTTTCGTGGTACTGGCTCCATTTCCAAATACTCCGAGGCTCTCCTAGAGGTTCTCATGGATCTAAAGACAATGGACCCTTGCCTTTGCCAGGCATACAAGATGAGCTGGCTGTGAATCTTTCTGGGTGAGAAGATGGATTCAAGGAGGTTGACTTGATGTAAGAGCATCAGAACTTTTGAGTCAAGATATGGCACTGCTCACTCAAGTTTAGACTTTTCTGACAGCCTAGTAGGCTATCTATAATCTGCAAGGAACCAATCATACCTGGAAATTCTTGTCCATGGTCTCAGTCATGATTTTTATCCTGTGGGATGTCATCTGAAATGTCCAGCTCTCATTTCAGACACCCTACAACAGCACCTCGCACATGAGTCCATCTGCGGCAGAGGATATCAACATTCTTCAAAAGTATCTAGAAGCTAATGAGATCCAGTCCTATCGACCGGCACGGGACAGTGGTGAGAAGGCCATCTCAGCTCATGATCTCTTTGTCGAGAGCACCAAGTGAATGCATACTGCCCCTGCTTTTCAAACCTTTCGTCCGGTTGTGTTCAACACTTCATTTCGAGCAGAGAAAAGTGGTAATATAGAGGAGCCAGAAAATGAGCTAGAGCAAAGCAAGGTGGATATAAATGCTGATATGACTCATGATACAGATGGTGGAGTGATGTTAGATGATTTGCTCATTGACGAAGAAGAGTTTGGGTCAGACATGAACTATGATGGCCTTGCAGAGACATTAAGCACTATGCGAGGGCTTGTAGACAGTGTAATAAATATGTAGTAGGTTACATAGTATGCTGTTGCCAGTGCGAAAAGGCTGTATCATCCTTTACCCCATTGTCCTCATTCTTGATGACCTCTGTCTCTCTCTCTTCCACGACCACACCTCCTGCTTCTTCAAGAACTAGATGTCTTGGCATCATCAGACAGCTTATCAGCTGATTGCTTAGCTGCACCAGACTGCACAATGGAATGAGCAAGACTGGACCCAGTCTGTGCAGCTGCCTTCAATGTGAAAACTGTGCAGTTGGTATTGGAGTGTTGAGAGAAGATGCTGCCACCACTCTGCATTGTTCTTCAGCTGCAGCCTCTTCATCATATGCAGTATATACTCTTTCTAGAAGGGTGACGAGAGCTTGGCCAAGTTCGGAGAGTGAGCTATCTGCTTCAAATGCCAGCCACCATTGAGTATGATCTGCTAGCTTGGCTCTGTCAGTGATGCACTCACCACAAGTGGCCAGTTGGTCAATAATTTTGTTACCCATAAGCATCTCCTCTGTTATGAGAGCAGAAGATGCAGAGTATAGCTTTGGGAGGAGGATCTCTGTGCGCCATTTCTCTAGTGCGTCTCAGATCTGCTGCTCAAGCATTGGCAGAAACTTGCATTTGCGTCTCCACTTGAGCCCTAGTTCTTTCTTGACACAGACAGCAGTAATGGAGAACTGCTCCTCATGACGGTTGTCACAGCAGCAAACTGGCTCTGCTGGCCCCATGTACATACTTGTGGTATGGTTTAGCAGAACTAGATGAAGAATATACTAAGTAGCTGTCAGTTTAGAACCACTTTGAAACTCACTTTTATGCTTATTGTTGAAGAACTGATCCCAGACAGTGCAATGGCACTTGGAAGTGGTGGTGAACTCCATGCGTGAGCAAGCTTCAAGAGTGTTACACTCAGAGCCGCGCTGCTTCTTCTTCTTCTTCTTCTTCTTCTTCTTCTTCTTCTTTGTCACGGCCACTCTGCTTCCACTCTGCTCTCACTCTCTACCAGGCCATCTTCCTTGTTGTCCTCTGCATGCATTTCAACTTGTATGCCACCCTCTTTGACAAACATGGTTTGGTGTCCATCAGTCACCTGGACACCATCCTGAAGTGTGGCTGTGTTTGCATCGTCCACTTCCTGGTCACGGTTTTTAGCCTCTGCACTCTGAGCTGTCTTGACTACTAGCTTCTCCACTTCAGCTGACTCAATGCCATCTTTCAGCAGCTTGGCCAGGACAGTGAGAATAGCTTCACCAAACATGCTCATAACTCAAGCAGCTCAACTGGCTTGCTGAACAAGCACACAGAAGGACGGAGAGAGCCCCCAGAGCACGATGCACTCAATGTTACACATATCACAGCCCTAGTAAGGTTGTAAGTACTTCCATACGAACTCTACTGTGATCTGGACTGATCATGCCAACTGCATCAGTGCAGATTATAATCTGCACCTCACCTGTGTGCAATTTTGTCTCGAGCTCACGTTTTCTCTTCTCACCAACCTTTGCATGGTAGAATGCAATGCAATTGAAGTGAGCATTTTGTGAGACACCAGGCAGAAGCCATTGCTGCATGACATTGACAATGTCTTTCACTTCTCGGCGCAAGTTGCAATAGATGAGCTGGACTGGTATGTTTGTCACACATTGTGCATTATCAGAGATCATGAAACAAAAATCTCCCTTTGTTCTGACCACATACTTTATGCCCTGCACAGAGAGAGCAACATTTGGCCTTGTATTTGAGACAGCAACCATGGCGGTATCCTTGCTCAGCTGGAGCTTGATCTGTATGTCATCCATAACATGCTCGGGAAGTGTGGCTGATGCTATGGCCATAGGCACATTAACAGGAAGCCAATCCTGGAATGAGCCCAATGCAGCATAATCTGGCCAAAAACTTTCTCCCCATTGGCTAATGCAATGCACCTCATTGATAAATGCCACACAAAGGTGCTTGAAGAAGCACAGCTTGGTGAGCACCTGAGTGCAGAATTCAGAGGAGTCCAAAATCTTTGGAGAGACAAAAACTTGGTGGTACGCTCCGTCTGCAATTTTCCGCAGGAAATAATATCAGGTGCAATGTCCTAGCAGGCCTAAAAGCAAAGCTGACATACTGCATATAGAGCTTTGAGTCCTCTTTCTCTGAGCATTTCCTTACATACAGCAACTGCTGGCACAGGTGAGAACCTGACCTGCATTGGCCCTAAAGTCAGCAATGGATTTCCAAGCTTAGGTAAGGGTTTTGGCACACCTGGTCTATCATTAGAGCTGACAGAGATGATATCACTAGTGCAATATTGTCTTCATGGAGAGCAACTGCCAGCAGAAAGCACAAAGACTTCCCGCATCCTGTTCCTGCATCAAGTACAACATCTTCACTGCAGAGTATAGACTCGAGGCTGTCGAGCTGCCAGGAGAAGGACTTGCACCTGGCAAGAGCCTTGACTTTTTTAGACGCAGCTTCATGAAGATTGTTGTCAAGCCCATCTCTAGTATAGTGTTGGATCTTAGAGACTCTGCGTGACATTGTAATGAGTAAAAAACAAGTCTATTTTCCCCTATTTTGCTGTAGGTACAGTGGAATATTCTAACGTGTGCAGGCACTCTACCTTCCTTTCTGGGCACCTGCTGAGTTTGAAATCTCATTCCTCACTCCCCCCTCGAGTCCTTCCAGCCGCTCTATATAATATATGACAGGGCAGCTGGTATCGAGCCTAACTCACTTCAAACTTCTGTCAAGCCCGAGCATCATTAACTCAGCAAAATATCTATGCCAGAGCTATTTTCATGAGAAGAGTTCTGTCAAAATGCACAACTGTTTGATTGCTACACTTGTGCTTTGGAGACTTGCAGCCATTGCCCGTTTGTATCATCTGTGCGAGTAGAACAATTCCAACTTGTCTGTTCGAAGTTGTTCCAAGCCTTCGGAACTGTGCGTGCACAACATTGTGCTTTGTGGACCAAGTGTTCACATTTGAAATAGTACAAGACATGGGCTATGGTAGGAACCTTGCAGGGGCAAGCATTGTGATCAAAGTCTCAAGTGCTCTTGATGATGCTGGCAGCTGTAGTAATGATGGGGTTAGAAGCTAACAAGAACCCAGCCCACGTAGAACACTGGCCTCTCTCTGCAATGAAGTGCGCCATAGCTGGGTGGGAACATACACTTCAACTATATTGGTGACAGGATGCACACGTGACTGCAGATGTATAGTGGGACGATCAAGATATCAACCATGCACAGGTTCTTCATTCCATAGACATTCAGCTAAGGGTCAACAATGCCGCCCTTCTCTCTCGGGAGCATTGAGAGCAAGAATGCAGTGTCTATGGGAACCATTGTTGGATGAGCTATCGGTGATGCAGAAAAGAAACCCACGGCAGGTAGAATTGAATGTCACCTTGGCCCACTCTAGCATAGTGTTAGCCATCTATATGATCCAGCTGTAGAAAACTCATTGAAGAGCTGCATATCCGTCTGCACAGCAGGGCCAGGGTTGACCTCCTTAACTAGTTCTTTGTCAGTTCTGATACTGAAGTAGCTGTCGCAGTTGGCATACTAGTCATATCCTTCATGGGACCAATGTTCACCAGATTGCACATGAACTTCGCGGCTTCGAGGAGCATCTCCAAACCTATTGTTCTCAGTCATCCTGGACATTGAGCATGAACCCAAAGCTTCAACTAACCAACGTTGCATTCGAAGTACTTGGGTCAAACTCAGAATTCTTGTCGGAATTGCTCAATTTGGCGTGCTCTGTCAGTGCAGCAGGTGCATCAGTCATGCCGAGTGGTGGGAGCGAGCACAAGCTCACAATGGTTCCACAAGAGAAAGGAATATTCATTACTACTATGAACGTGACGTAATGCTTTCCAGAGCTGGGTGGATCTGGTCGAGATGATCCATGGGTTAATCTGCAAATAACACAAGCTTACTGGGGCCCGACACAAATCTGGGGATCAAAACCAGCTCGCAGGTAGGATTGCTTGTCTGGGAGTTGAGGCGCGCCAGTAATAGTTGCATCTGGTTGATATAGCTCAAGGGGACCGAGTCAGGATCCAACTTGTTGATCTCTTCCTTGGCTTGTTTGTAGATTTCCTCCGTCCTGCCTGAGATTTGGTCCAGAGAAAAGAATGCCACAAGTATAATACTCATAGTGAATAACCACTGGGCTTGTTTGCTAGCAAGGTGGCTTATCAACAATGCTAGGCACGACAGGGTCAAAGCACTACTTACTGAAGTTCAAGGTTTTTGGCAAAAGTCTCGGGGTCTCGCAGGAGATCCATCATCTCCCAAGTGCAGTTGTCTTTCAGTTCTAAAACGGCGCCTTGTTAGTTCAAGTAGGCATTTCAAAACTGAGGTACACACCCCATGACATCTCAAGTACAATATGCTCTTGTACATTTTTGCTGACGCCAGGAAGCTCCAGCCTGAGAGAGACCCCAATCTTTAACAAGACATCCTTTCGACCAATTCCAGATAGCTTCAGGATCTGTAGAGGCTTGAGTGCACTACGGAGCATCACACACAGTCAGTGTCCAGCCCGTATGCACATTAGCTGCTCTTACCTGGCACTCAGAATACTGTAGTTTTATGACCGTAGCAGATGTCACATGTCACAGGGCTCTCATCCTGTCCGTTATTTCACCTCTGTCACACATCACAGAGGGGTCCATCTGGTTATGACATCCGAGATTTGTCACAAAGAAAAAGACACATTTTTTCAGGCCTGCAGCGCTTTGCAGTATCGTAGAATGTATTATCATACCAACAATGCTACCCAGATAAAATACTGTAGCCATGCTCAGTCATTTGTTAGCCGGCAGATGTCACAGGTCACCAAGGACCCATCCACTCATCTGGTTTGGTGCACTTGTGTCACAGTCACAAGGCTATCCGGTATGGTCATAAAAGTACAGTAACTTCCCTGGAAACTCATACGCTGTGAATGTTGCCACCATGTCCAAGTGCGATGCCAACCGCGGTAAGACTACCAACAGTGCCAGGCTCGGTGAGGATGTGGTGCACATGAGTGTTTGTGAGGACGAATAGGTTTTTCCCATCTTTGTTTGGGAGATAGAATGCCGTCACTGAGTAAGACCTTGTTTGCATCACTGTGTCAAAGGTACAGTGAGCCCAAAACCAACCATTTGACTGCAATAACAATTATAATTGGATAGCACCAAGCATGCTAGGATGAAGCACTTACATCACCATCATACTGACAGGTAGAATTGGTCAATCTGCATACAGAGATATGGAGATACGCCTACTTACAGGTTGTGGCACTGAATGCAATCTAGCTTTTTCTAGGACCTCCACATACTTAATCTCGTCGTCCTAAATCATTCCAGAAAAACTGATCTCAAGTGGCCCTTCTTGAAGTTAATCGAGGAGCTGGCAACCATTGTAAATAATTCACAGTACCATTCCTTCCAAATTTCCAAGTGACAGGGTTCATCTTTAGCCTTTTTTGAACGCCTTCAGACAGAGGTTGAAATCTAGTTCAGTAGAGGACCGTTTAGTATGAAGGTTGCTATTGGACAAAAAAAATGAGTTTGGAATTGGTGCAGACTGTACTCACAGTTTGGCAGACAAGGGTGTGCAAACGTGAACAAACGTGCACGAAAGCTCACGAAAGTGGGCGAACGTACATGATCGTGCACAAAAGTAGATGAACGTACACGATCGTGCATGCCGCTGAGCTTTGGTTTTGGTTACGCCCTGATTTGAGATTGGCGATGGCGCTAATGTGTGCGCGTTCATGCGCGTTCGTGCACTCAACTTATTATTCAGTTCTGTGTAAGCTGACAATTGGTTTTCATTTTCGTGATTATGCATCTCATTTGAATCTTCGAGTGCATGAAAGTGCGCGAAGGTGCACGAAGGTGCACGAAAGTGTGCGAAGGTGCGCGAAAGTAAACGTCTAGCAAAAATGAATTTGTGATAACATGAATATGTAGTTCGTCAAATGCACACTTTCGTGTGCGAAAGTGCACGAAGGTGCACAAACGTGAGCTTCCGTGCACATTAGCACACATTAGTGACCAAACACGCATCATCGTGCACGAATACGTACGAAAGTGCACAAATACGCACGCATAACCTTAGACGCACATCGAAAACAAAAATTTGCGGCCGGTGTGAAAGTGAGAATTTATTTTTGTCCAATAACACCCTTGATAGTTTAGTTATATCGGCTGTCCCAGCTCAGCAGGGCCGAGTTTCACTTTTCTACTCTCTCGAGCATCTGCTGGTGAAGGTCCCAGTTCCACCCTGGATTACCTAGCTTTTCCCACTCTGCATCGGATTCATCAGTCTTCCCATTACGAAGAAAGTGGAAGTACACACCGTCAATATCACATGCAGTTGGTTTGGAATAGGCCAAGAAGCTGATGGCAGTGGAACCACCAAGGCCTTTGCCTCGCTGCCAGGTCACAGAACGGCCGTCAAGGTGTTTCTGCCGGACCTGTGGAGACGATGCATTCAGGGCCTCGAGACAGCGGCCCGGCGAGGCGTGCTTACCGTCTTATGGTCCAAATCATACTGGGGTTTGCCGTAATGCGCCCCATATGAGGCGGAGCGCACTATGAAAGGCGGTCAACGTGAGCAGGGCTGGATAGGAAAGCGCGCGTACGTAGTTCCGGATCGTTAAGGTTGGCCACGCCGGATTCGAGGACGAGAATAGTCTTGGAGGGATCTTCACTCAGTCGCGCTGCCAAGGTCAGCCCACATCCCTGATAGCATCTGCGTCTAAGCAAGCCGTATAGGCATCGTGTACGATGAACTCACTCCGCCGCCTGCGGGAAACGAATATCGGACCACCGTTCGCGAGATCCGGGAGATGACATACCGATTATCATATAGTCAAAGCTCTTGCCAGAGACCTCTTCGATACCGGAGACATTGGACACGTCTGAGTCAAGAACAGCCGAAGTAAGATCGTCTCCTTGCGTACGCACTCGTACTTATACGTTGAGGAGGCAGCCGTCACTACGCGTCAATTATCGACAGTCAAAATCGCCTTATCGCCGTCCAGCGAAAGAAAGGCATTGGTGGCCGGGATCCCTCGGGTAGAGCCATCCTGCTACATTTTGTAGACTTGTTTCGACGACATACATTGCGCCTGTTGAGTCAGCGACTACAAGTGTTATGCTTTCAAGCGACCCAGTGGCACAGTGAGGAATCAGAAGGTCACCCAGCCGAGTCGGGCCCCGGAGTACCAGCATCAGCGCGCCCTGTCGGAAATCCCACAGCACAGTAAGCCGTATTGCAATCACGGAACGCCGTCGGTTATGGTACGAAACAGGATTTGAGAAGCCGACCTCATGCATCAAAATTCGCATGCCGTAAAAGCTGAGCCTATTGCGGACGCAAGCATCATCACCCTCAGGATGCTCTCAAACTAGCGCTATTGAGACTCACCTCAGACCCCTGCCTAACCTGCCATCGCTAGCTTTCTAAGCCCAGGGCTTACCGAATCGGCTAGACATTTGTACTAAAAACTCATCCCGGCAAGATGGACTTCTGAGGCCTAACATAGTTTAGCTGCCGCACCCTAAAAGCTCACATACAGCTCTCGAGCTACCCGCCACTAACAGGCATTTGCGCCATATTTGAGTGAGGCAATTCGAACTTGATTGCTCGACGGTCCGCCGAACTCCCAGATTCGCATCTTCATAGTACTCGCATAGTTCTCGCGTTACATTATCTGGATTGAAACCTTGACCAAGGCAGCTGACTGTCCGTAAAAGTCTTTGAGTAATGATACATGTGCGTTTAATGAAACGGATAGGGCAGCATGACGTGTGAGAGACGGGACAGACGCTCCTAGAGGACGGAGGAGACTTTGACTAGCATCTGCGGACCCTCGTGCTCCTTGCCAACGGTGAGAGCAGACATGAGGCCAGAGGGCAAGCGTATAACCTTCGCCGTGTCTTCCGTGGGCTCGAATCGGAAGTGCTCCACCAGCTCGACGATGATAGCGAGTGCCTCCGCAATGCTGAAGAAAAGAATGAGGCTTGCCGGCTGTCAATATACGATCAATGACTTACGAAAAGCGCCATCTGCGGTAGCTAAATTAATTACACGTTCGCACGGTGAAGAGATATGACGTACCCAAGGCATCCTCGGGCACCGGCGGCGAAGGTCATGCTGTGCTTGCAGGTTGAGATGAGAACGGGCGACTCGCAGGGTACACGTACAGGTTAGCATAGAGGCCGATTCCAGACTGCTTCTCGAGGTCTCCGTCAACGAAGCGCATCGGGTTCCACACGTCGGCGTCTTTGCCCCACACCTCAGGAAGGCTGCCGGTCATGCTCAGCACACGCTTCTATCGGCCCGTGCGACATGCTCACCGCTGATATGCACATACTGAGAAGAGGATCTGCTGTCCGGCCGCCACGGGTATCTCTGTGACGTACTTGCCAGACGTCGTCCGGACCGGCTGCTCAAGGGGGATCACGTCATCGGCCGCTGCAGTGCGAAACAGATGGTACGTAGGCGGGTGGTATCGCAACGTTTCCTGTTGTTGTCCTCAGTACGGCGTGGCTATGAGCATTTGCGATAGAACCTGACCTTCAAGCAGCTGGAGACAAGAGGCATGCCCTCGAGATCCTCGACGCTGAAATCCTGTGCGCCATGCTCGTGCAGCCGGCTGCGTGCTGCGACAATTTCCTCACGCATCTTGTTCTGATAATCCTGATTGCGCGCAAGCTCGTACACCATCCAGGTCAGCGTGCTCGCCGTCGTGGCGTGTCCAGCGAGTATAAGCGTCGCCATCTGGGCGACTAGCTCCTCGTCGCTAAGGAGACTTCGGGTCCTCGGACACGTTTGCTCGGACTGTGGTGGAGTTCAGCAAGACGGTGCCGTAGATCTCACGCCGCACGTACCAAGTACGCTGAAGATATCCTGGTTCGACTTGGACTCCGCCAAGAGAGCCTCACGCTTCTCGTCAATTAGCTGCTGGGACACTCTGTCGATGACTTTCCTACATCTGCGGAAGCGCTTGTCCTCTTTCGTTGGAATATAGCGCATGAGCTGGAGGCCAGGTTGAGGGACCATGTACCACGTCCTCTTGAACAGCAAATCTAACTTCGATGGATGGAGGCGACTATCATTGCTACAAATCGTTTAGCCCAAATTGCATACGCTCCATACAAAGCACTGTTACTTACAACATGGTGGCGACCGCACTGCTCACTTCATTTTCCTTATTATCGATGGCGCCGAAACTGTAATCGAAAGCGGCTGTGCAAGGCCAGTATCAGTACGTGCAGGATAGTTGCCATAGCCCATACCAACTTTCGCCAAGAATATCAAGTGTCACTCGGGAGAACCATTTGTTGACTGGGTACACCATACCGTCGCTATAGGGGCTGGACTGAAGTTCGTCTTTCCATTTTTGCGACAGCTGTATGTGGTTACTATCAGCTGTCCCGAAAAAAGCCATAGGTAAAGGAACGGACTTTCGCAGCTCCCGCACAGAATAAGGGTAGGAACGAGCGGATCTAGGCACTACTGAAGGCAGGGCCAATAATTTTGCGCTGTCTCTCGTGAGTAAGACCTAGAGACGATACAGTGAGGCTGTAGGAGTGTATGTGTAGGTAATACGCGTACCGGAAGCCCATACAAGTCCTTTACCCATCATCTTAAGAAAGGCCTCATCCGTTTCCACTCGTTTGATGTAGAAGCTATCTGCCTTATGGACGCAGTGATGAAGCGCCTGGATGTAAAGTTGGGTTATCGAGTGAGCAAGACTGTGACACCCTGCGATGACTTGCCTTAGGATCCGCTATGGCGAGGACCTCCATCTAGGAAAATATAACTTGTGAAAGAGTGGCCGTGCGCGGCCGATGACGGCTCACCCCCATTGGACTTTCCATCCTCCAGACTCTGCCATACTGCTTAACGAACTTGAAGTCTATGTCGCCCACATTTCTTTGATAGGCAAAATCCTTCATATTTCCTGCGAGAAGAGCGTGGGTGCACGCATCTCAAGCAGCGACCGGAGGAACATACCATACAGCCAAGATGCCTTGGGGCCAGGAATATAGCTGATGGAAAGACGCGAGACATGTTTGCGCCACAACAAGAATGCAGCCGCGAACGCTCCCAGGAGGAGGAGGGTTGACTGGTCCACTTGGAGCATGGTTGCGGCAGAGCAATGATGTGAGTGCATGCGAGTTGCAGCGTATTTATCCCTCACCGGGCGCTATTGAGGTTCAGAGGCGGAGACCTGAGACATTCGACCGGGAGTCGCAACAGGCCGCCCGGTGGCTGGGGGTCGGCGTACTGTTGGGCTGTAACTTTCTGAGTCGGCATTGTCCTCTACTCCTGTGGTTATGCCCGGCAAGTACGTGACTCCGCCATGGAAGGCAGCGGCGTACCTCAATGTCAGTAAACGTCTGGCTGTACAACGTTGTCCTCTCAACCGCCGTGCTGAAAAGTCTGGAGTCTGATAGAAGTCCGTCAGTTGTATCCTGTAATCGATACAGTCGAGTTTATGCCTCCCCTCTGCCAACAACAGCCTTCTTGCCACTTGGGCGCGTTGCGAACGCGCATATAACCGGGAAATCTGTAGGGGGCTACGCATGATAAGACGAACAGTGCTGAGCCCATTAATGCACGCGCAATGTGCATGATCCTCCACTACCAGATACCCGGCTTCGGACGCCGTCCGTCGGTGCTTGCCCACGGCCCTACATTTGACGCGTTGCAGCGACGAGCTGCACCTGCCACTTCATCTGAGCAGGAAGGTTTAATAAAAGGACTATATCTATATATCAGGTCATTGCAAGTCGACAAGTACGAGTATGAGTATTCAGTGCTCGGTGCCGCAGCGCTCGTAGAGGAGAATGCACGAGAGAAATTTGGAACTTTTTTGTTACAAAAAATATGCGAAAACAGCCTGAAAAAATAAGTAAGAAAATGCCATATTTTTCCTCCCGGTATCCGGCGGCCCGGCGACTCGGCAACCCGGCAGCTGAGCCGATTGTCCGCCAGGCCATTGTCAAAGCGCCCGTGGCTGCGGCACCCGGCGGACAATCGGCTCAGCTGCCGGGTTGC